GTGAAGCTTCGAAATTCGCCTGGCGCCAGGTCGAAGCCGTCTGCGGCTTTGATCTTGGGAGGTGCGTCTCGGGGTTCCGAGCCGTTGCAACATCCGCTGCTACCGGCTGGCTTTGTGTGACACATTATAGACGGCTCCGCCGCCTCCCGACGGCACCGTTCGGTGTCTTCTGCTGCGTCCCGCTTCTGGCGACATCGAAGGATTGCCGCGCCTTGGGTTTGAATGTCGCACCCCAGAGCAGGCCGGTGACCGATCATTGGTCGGCGCACGTCATGTCCGCCTGTCCTCCGACGGCTCTCGTTATCTCGTGACGGTGTCGGCGGCTGCGATGCGGTCTGCGACCGACCGACGGGGTCTTGCCCTTGTCATATCTTATCTGTGTGGTGACTCGGAGCTGTCGTGAGCTGTCCGGTGCCTCCGGAGCTCTCGTGAGCTGTTCGGTGCCCCGTGTGGTGACCCGGAGCTGTCGTGAGCCGTCCGGTACCCCCGGAGCTCTCGTGGGCTGTTCAGTGCCCCGTGTGGTGACCCGGAGCTGTCGTGAGCTGTTCGATACCACGTGTGGTGACCTGGAGCTGTCGTGAGCTGTTCAGTACCCTGTGTGGTGACCCGGAGCTGTCGAAAGCTGGACAGTGCCCCGTGTGGTGACCGGGAGCTGTCGTGAGCCGCACGGTACCGCGTGTGATGACTAGTTTGGTGGCTCCGTCTATGTGACGTGGATCGAACTGGGATTGTTGTTGATGGTAGATCGGGACGTAAGATCCCTGTTGTGACATTGTCCACGTGCTTGCATGGTGGAGAAGCGGAGCCATGTGAAAACCGGTTCCTTTCTCAGAACGGGTGATTTCATGTCCGGTGCCCAGAGATCAGAAGACACGCCATGGAAGACACGACGGGGTCATTTCGTCAGCGCGAAACGGTCTCGTAGAACATGCTTGCATTTTCCTATTTGTTCCGACACGTTGCGGTGTTCCGGTCAAAGTGTCCGCGAAAGCCGCAGCGAACCAACACCAAACACAAAGCATACCTTTGCCTCCGATCGCAACGGCATGCCTGCGCGTCCGCGCCCCTGGCAACAGCGCCGATAACACAGGGCCGCGCTGATACAAACGCTGCCTGCTGAAGCTCTGTTGTCGTGCGCGTCACAAGCGCTATCAGAGCCCGCTGAAGACTTATGGTCGTCGTGATGAGGCCGTGGGCAGTGAGGTACGCCGGCGGGGTCGCGGGACAGCTGTACCTGTTGACAGCATGACACGTGTGTGTCTGTTCGCCGCCGGCGTGGCGTCGCCGTCCGCTCTTCCGTTGTGTGGCCGTCTGGCGTGTTTTGCGCGTCCGAGGCCGGCCGGCAGCTGGCGATGGCGGCCGGGCCGTTGCCACGAGCCGGCCGCGGCGTCGACAGGCGGCGGCCGACGGCGCTCTGTCGTCTGACGTGTCGGCCTGTCGCGGCCCTGTTTCCGGGCCGGGGCCGCCGTGACTCAGCCGCGTCACGGCAGGAATGCACGGCCGGCGGCGCTGGCAGCAGCTCCGGCGGCAGCTGCAGCCGCGGCCGGCGGCCGTGCCGCGTCGGTCGCTCCGTCGCGGCGGCGGAACACGCGCCTGGACTTGGGGCTAGCGCGGCAGCCTCCGTGGCGTCGAGGCCTGGGCTCCGTCAGCGAAGTCTGCCGGGACGGACGTGAGTGGAAGATTACCGCCGCGTCGTTCGGTGCCCACGAGGTTATGGCTCTTCACGAGTAGCGCGGTCTGCAAAAAGTAGCGTGAGCGGACCCGTCGGCGTGACGGGCAGGCGGCGGCTCGCTGGCAGCCGGTGCCCTGCAGCGGGGTTCGGGCGGCGGCTCGCTGGCGGCCGGTGCCCTGCAGCGGGGTTCGGGCGGCGGCTCGCTGGCGGCCGGTGCCCTGCAGCGGGGTTCGGAGGGCGGCTCGCTGGCGGCCGGTACCCTGCAGCGGGGTTCGGGCGGCGGCTCGCTGGCGGCCGGTGCCCTGCAGCGGGGTTCGGGCGGCGGCTCGCTGACGGCCGGTGCCCTGCAGCGGGGTTCGGGCGGCGGCTCGCTGGCGGCCGGTGCCCTGCAGCGGGGTTCGGGCGGCGGCTCACTGGCGGCCGGTGCCCTGCAGCGGGGTTCGGGCGGCGGCTGGCTCGCCCTCGCCACGGCGACCGTGACTCACGGTTTGGCCGCCGACGGCAGCAGGCCTCTCGGGCGGCCCGCCCCGCTCGGCGCTTACATAACCGGCACGGGTCGCCTTGTCGGGCCCGCCGCGCCGCCGTGCCCCCTCTGGCGTCGCGGCGGTCCGCCGCCGTCACTGTCGGCGAACGACTCGGACGCGAGCCTGACAGCCCCCGCCGGGCGACCCCGACCCTTCCGTGACGCAGCCCGCCGCCCGACCCGGTGTGCCGGCGGCGCGCTGTGCCGTGCAGCTGGCGGCCGGCCGCTTCAGCCTGTATCCGATTAGAGCGAGCCTGCGGCGCCCGTTTTTTGTCGGCGGCTCGTTTTGACATGTCATCAATCAAGCCACGCGCTGAGGCTGGTGGCACTCGTTCGGCGGCCGGGAATCCGTAGGAGGGGCGGGTGGCGAGGCGGCGAGCTGTAATGTGGTTAGCGAAAGGTTAGCTCGCTCAGCGCACGTGTCGCCGCGCGCGGGGACGCGGCGGCTCATCGCGGTGCAGTCCGTCTGCACCGGTCAGGGACGACGCCGGCCGCTCAGTCGAGCGCGATGCTGGCCAGCGCTCGCATTGTCTCACGAGCAGTTTCTGTCTGAGTGGGCCAGGCTTGATTCGGAGGAGCAAAACTGGGTGCTTTTTGCAATGAACGTGTATCCGGTATTTTCGTCCGAGTCGGTATTGAGTGAGTTAGCTCATCGAATGGGTCAATGATCCCGGGACGGGTGGCACATTAATTGGACCATGTCAACCTGGGTGTCAAGGCAAGCCATTTATAGCCGCTTAAGCCCGGCATGCGTGGATTCGAACAGAGTTGATGAAATTCCTTATCCAGGATTTCTTGGGTGAGGGCCGGAGGGCCTGACCCGGAAGTGCTACTTACTCCCGGCGTACTGCGGAGAGGGGCCTGCACTCAGAAGGTGCACGCTCGAAAGACGCACTCCTGAGTGTCTACTCTCGGATGAGCAATGTTCGGAGGACCTTCTGTGAATACATACGCTCGGAAAACAAGACTTTCACCAGAAGGATCTACGCTCGGAAAACCGGCGCTTGGAGAGCGTACTCTCGGAATACCTACCGGCAGAAGGCCCGCTGCTGTTACTGTTGTAACGAGCGGGGTCTCAGGTTTTGTCCACATGCCACGAACGATTAATGGCTGTCATCACTTAAGCACCAGGTGCCCCTCCCTCCCCCTCTTCCCCCACCCTCTTTTGTTCCCAAAATGTGAACCGACTTAGCCCTTGCACACTCCATACGCATACCTATGGGCTCACCCAATCCGTGTAGGCTTTTAACAGGCACGCCGTTTGCTAAGACGTGTTGGCATTGACATCGGCTCTTAATGCGGTGTTTGTGACTCAGCTAAAAAATTGCATCTTACCTGTTTGAAAGCAATCTTCAGCCAAATTCTGGTATCAATCACGCATAAAGGTGCAAAGTTATACCATACAAAGATATTCCCTCTTTGACTTGAAGATCGCACGCCGCCTGCAGGCATTCACGGAATAGGCCGTCCGGGAGTAGGCCTTGTCTCCCGATCAGAGGCATTCCATGCAGTGGATCTCCCCGGCTGATCATGCCGTCTTTTCTCCATTCGTGGACTGAGCACGAGATATGCCGTGGATCTCCCCGGCTGATCACGCCGTCTTTTCTCCGTTCGTGGACTGAGCACCACATATGCCGTGGATCTCCCCGGCTGATCATGTCGTCTTTTCTCCGTTCGTGGACTGAGCACCAGACATGCCGTGGATCTCCCCGGCCGATCACGCCGTCTTTTCTCCGTCCGTGGACTGAGTACCACATATGCCGTGGATCTCCCCGGCTGATCACGCCGTCTTTTCTCCGTTCGTGGACTGAGTACCACATATGCCGTGGATCTCCCCGGCTGATCACGCCGTCTTTTCTCCATTCGTGGACTGAGCACCAGATAATTATTTTCGTTAGCATCAAAGGCTGTTTCAGTCACTGATGAGCTCCAAAAGCGTCGTAGGCTGTCGTTTCAGTGACGTGAATATGAGCCGAGCCAAAGCGCGGTAAGCTCTTCTCTGTGAACCGGCGGCTGGAGGGTTCACTACGGGCCGCTGTCAACCACCAGGAACTGGCGGAGAGGCGACCCTGGCTCCCTTTCCCCGCAGTGGCCCAACTCCTCTGCCGTGCCGTGCTGCCATATCGGCATGATTTGATGGCTCAGGTTGAGTGTGTGCCGTCCTTTTGACTACGTCTGTGTTTGTAACATTTCAGCTCATTTTTTTGCGCGTCCTTTTGCGCCAACGTCAAGATGCCGCTAGCAAATACGGCCGGTTGGTGCTATGTTGTCCCAGGGTCCGTGTGTCCGGACAAAGCATTGGCGAAAGTCCAAATATGCATAAAAAGTGCAGTCGGGTTGCTGCTAATGTCTGCTGCACTAGCCATTCTTGTTTTTCCCGCTTTTGTAGGCAGCCGCCATTGTTAAAGGATATCAGCCTGAAGTGTCCCGTGTTGGGCATTGGGCGAGGGGGGGGCTCAGAATCGATTTGGCGGTGGCGTGTTGCGAACGTTTTTTCCATCCGTTTTCCCATAACCCGCCCTCGTTGACTCACTGCGCACAGTTGTGACAACATTTGAGGCAGGATACCAGCACCCTGTGGAGAGTCTACCGGTCCTGTGGTGCGCGCGCCGACATGCCGTGGTGGCCGCCAGACAGTGTTCAGCGGTGGCTGGCGCGACCCCGCCGGCCGATGCCCCGCCAGCCCACCGCCGCCCCCGGTCACCTGCCTCACCGGACTCGCATACTGCCCCCCCCCCCCGCCCGCCCGCCCGCTCTGGAGGGATGCCGCCCCGCCTGACGACCGCTCTCCGCCCTCCGCTGCAGGTGGCGACTACATCTGGGGCACGGGACCCGTCGGCCAGCGGTGTGCAGGTGAGTGGACGGCTGCGACTGGCGGCGCAGGGCCGGGCGCCGACCGCCGCCGGATCCGGGCCCGTTGACGGGGCTCGTCGCGCCCCGCCGCCCGCCGTCATTGTACAACAGCACTTTCGGATCCATCGGCCAGTTCGTGGAACATCTGTGTAAACCTCGTACATCGTAGTACAGTGACACTCTCCCCTGTGACGAGCTGCGCTAACGCTGCGACGCACTTGCGCGTGACACTTGGGCGTCGTAAAGGATCTTCACGCCTGTAGCTTCTTTTGTATTTTTATTTATCATATTTTATCTTTATTTATTTTCTCTGCTTTGGTGCCCGTGATATGCATCCAAGGATGGGTCTGCAGCCATCCGGGCCGGGCCGAGCGGCACGCTGCAGCGGACCTCGGGCCGGGCCACACCGGCTGAGGGTCGTCACTCCCCCTGCTACACTGACGCTGCAGCGAACCTCGGGCCGGGCCACACCGGCTGAGGGTCGTTACTCCCCCTGCCACACTGACGCTGCAGCGGACCTCGGGCCGGGCCACACCGGCTGAGGGTCGTCACTCCCCCTGCCACACTGACGCTGCAGCGGACCTCGGGCCGGGCCACACCGGCTGAGGGTCGTCACTCCCCCTGCCACACTGACGCTGCAGCGGACCTCGGGCCGGGCCACACCGGCTGAGGGTCGTCACTCCCCCTGCCACACTGACGCTGCAGTGAACCTCGGGCCGGGCCACACCGGCCGAGGGTCGCCACTCCCCCTGCCACACTGACGTCACCCGATGGCCACATCAGCACCGCTCGTGGCCCGCCAGCGTACGGCTGGGATTGCCGGCTAACGTGTGCTTGCAAGCCAGAGATCGGAGGCAGAAGTGCCAATTATGGCGTTATTTACAGTGTAAGGGGCACGCTTGTGTTTAGTGTGAGGCAGCCAAACCGGCGCCTCCCTCTCCGCTTGCCGTTTTTCTTCTGCAATGTTTAGCGGCCGTCATATTCCAAGGATTTGTTTCGCAGAAAGATACGGGCTGTAGCTATAAACACTTCTGGTTGCCATCCGCTGCCATGCAAGTTGGATTCATGAGCACTGCTTGTGCATGTGTATTTTCCGCATGTTCGTCGATGTGTATTTTTCATGAGCATTTTATCAATTTTGATTTTTCCTCCCCATCGCTGCTCCTGGTTCAAATGTTTTTCACTGTAATATTGCGCAAAACAAAAAGAGCGTTGAATATCACACAAAGACTGCCTTTTGGGGGTGCTATTTGACCATGGCTACTATCGTGTTCAAAAAGGGTGTCGGCAATGCAGTGGCCCTGCACGTCTGGGAAACCGGAGCTATGGAGTTGGATTTCCTGCGGTATCCGCCCTTCTTTCCAGAGTGACGGGCAAGTTACGTCATATGCGCCATGTGCGATATGCTCGTAACCTCAACAGCGGAGTGTGTCGTAGGTCTCCAATGGCAGCATTATGCTGCTCACATGAAGGACTTTTCACGACGCTACAAAATTATTTAAAGTAAAAGATTGCCGATTGTCAAAATTAGGTGGGCTACATATGTTAAGACACAAATTTCAGGGCAGCCAGGTAGTCGGGCGCTCCAATCATTTATGCCAGTCGATGCTCCCGATTCCTTATTATCAAACGGTTCTTTAGTCACTATGTGGCCATCCTAGCCTAGTAGTCAAAGAATGGCAGTCGAGGTATGTGCACCTCAGGGAATGCCAGCCTTGAATTACATTCCATATCGCCCCTCCCTGTGCTCTGCGAACGTGGCACGTCGTCCTGGCCGTCTGCCCCGCACGATGTCGCGCGTCTTCCCCCTCCTTTTCGTCGTTTCTGGCCTCCCAGCCGTCCGGGGTGGACAGCGTTTCGAACGTGTGAGCTGAGTCACACCAGCGAAGCGGATGCACCAAGCAGCAGCTGCAAACTGTTGAATATTGCCTGTTTACCGAATGCCTCAGCTGCAAATAGCGGCCATCACCCGTGCAGCAATCCATTTCCTGACGTCCTGGCGCGGTCCTGCACGGCGCTGTTGTGGCCGGCGACGGTGGTGGTACCTGCAGCCCGAGGGGGCGGGGGCGGGGGGGGGGGGCACCAGGCTGAGGTGGGTGACGTCACTGGCCGCCCGCCGCACGTGGTGGGCACGCGCAGGCCGGAGCGGCCGTGCGCGCCCAACACCGTTTCCTCGTTACCGCCGCGAAGACATTTCGCTGTCCAATTAATCAGGAGGGCTGAGCTCGTGCTGCACTCGACGCGCGGCTCCGTCGGTCGGAGCGCGGGGCGCGGCCGCGCCGGAGCGCAGGACGTCGCCGCCGGGTGGCCGCTGAGGTGGGATGTCACTGAGGACAGGACGTCGCCGCCGGGTGGCCGCTGAGGTGGGACGTCACTGAGGACAGGACGTCGCCGCCGGGTGGCCGCTGAGGTGCCGCGGCGAGACGCGGATCGTGGGCGGTCGCCACGCCAGCCCGGGCCCGGTGCTGAAGCCCCAGACAGGGAACGCACGCTGCGTGAAAGCTTGCCAGCCGGGTGGAAGCCTTGGAAGCGTGCGGACATGGGGAGGGGAGGGGCTCAGGACCGGGACCGGGCATGGGTCCGGCCCGAAAGCGCCCCCAAATAGCCATCAGGCCCAGCGAGCAAGCTTGCGGAGGCAGATGCAGCTGGGCAAGCGGACTCGGTAAAGCCGCGCCGCCTGCTCTGAGGTTCCCCTGTGGCGGCGTGAGCGCCGCGGCATCCCCGGCGGCACGGCCCCTGTCACGGCGCCGTCACGAGGTGAGCACGTGCCGTGGGTGGGCCGTCACGGCCGCGCCTGTGTGGGGCGTGATGTCAGCGGCGCGTTGCCGGGCGGCCGGGCGCTCTGACCTCTGTCCCCTGCGCCGCCCACACCGCCGCCAGGGCCGGGCAGATGCCGCGCTGTCTCGTGCCGCTGTCACATGTCGTTATGGCGTCATTAGCGGGGCCGGCTGGCGACCGCAGCGGCCCCTCGCAACGTGAGGCGTAGGCCGGGTGGGCACCGGCGCCGTGTACCGTCCAGAGCCCCGGCGGAGGCGTCTCTGCTGGGGCGCTCGGGGAAGACCGGCGGGGAGCGGTGCGTCGGGGAACACGCTGAGGGAAGCTGGCAGGCTCCGAGCGCATGCGTGTCGCTAGTTGATGTGGCCTCGGCTGCTGGGCTTGATTACACTCGTTGACGGGCCCGCGACTCAGGTTGGCCGGTGGGTCGGTGACGCGGCGAGCCGGCGACCGCTCCCTGGCAGCGCGACCGGACCGGCGCATCAATGGCCGGTGGGCGCGGGACGAGCCCCTCACCCCCTCCCCCTTCCCCTCCCCCATCTCTGACAAATTTGAACACTGACCTTTTGCTTTGCACAGAGAAAGACTGACTGAAGCACCACATTTGTCGCCCATGCGCCGTCCCGGTACTCCGCCTTCCCCTCCCACTTGCCTAAGGTTCCGCCGCTGTTACTGCAAGAGTGCGTTCGACGTTCACTGACGGGAAGGACGACTCGACCTAGATTCGGGCCTGATATTAAACCCGCTTGTTTGTTTTGGCATCAACACCATTCAGTTGTTGCCAAGAGGACGGCGTACGTCACTTGTGCAGCAGCTCTAGTAGCGAGCGACTCAAGCATCTTCATGATACCAACAACCTAGCGACCGCCGCAGGCTAATGCTCGGCGCGCCGGATGAGCAGTAATATTAAACAACATCAGCTCGCCCGCAGGGGGAGCAAGAGTTATCCCTCCAAAGAAAAGAGGTCCTGTCGCCAACTGGCTCATCTCCAATGTCGCAACAAATGCCGAGCAGGACTTACGGCGGCCCTCTTTTTGGCGTGTATCGTCCGAGCCGAGAGCTTGGTGCCCTGTGCGAGCCCTCTGGACGGAGGTCCAGCAGCCGACGGTTAATGGCTGGCATAGCGCGCGGCATATACAGCCGCGTCATTAGTACAGTCCGGCCCTGTCCTGTTCGCACGACGCCGGCGCGGCGACGACACCATGACAGTGCGGCTCTGTGCCGCTCGAACTCGAGCCACCCCGTGGCGTAGTGACGTCACCGCGCCGGTGCACCTCGTGCCGTCCGCACCACTGCTTCGCGTTGTGGGTCGCCGCGATAGGTTGGGCCCGTGCTCGTCGCCAGCTCTGGTGTGCTCTGCAGTGACGTTACCTCGGCGATGCGGGTGGGTGCAGCCGGCTCCGTGGGCTGTGGTGGTGGGCCGCAGCCGGCTCCGTGGGCTGTGCTGGTGTGCTGTAGCCGGCTCCGTGGGCTGTGGTGGTGGGCCGCAGCCGGCTCCGTGGGCTGTGGTGGTGTGCTGTAGCCGTCTCCGTGAGCTGTGGTGGTGGGCCGTAGCCGGCTCCGTGGGCTGTGGTGGTGGGCCGCAGCCGGTCCGTGGAGCTGTGCTGGTGTGCTGTAGCCGTCTCCGTGGCTGGCTTGGTGTGCTGTAGCCGCCTCCGTGGGCTGTGGTGGCGTGCTGTAGCCGTCTCCGTGAGCTGTGGTGGTGTGCTGTAGCCGTCTCCGTGAGCTGTGGTGGTGTGCCGCAGCACAAATCTACAGCGCATACACCGAACAATGATCGGCACAGGCCAGTGTGGGCGGAGCGAGTTGGCCGGTTGCCCCCCCCCCCCCCTGCCGGAGGAGTGGGCCGCCGGCGCGGGCCCGGTGATTTGTTCGCAGTGCGGTGTGCCTCATTGGGCCGGACTATAGAACAGGACTGTAATGTTGCATGAATGAAAGACGGCTGCCGCCACTGTGTCGGCCCGGGCAGATCCAGATAAATCCGGCCGTATTTCAAACTCTGCCGGCAATTCCATGCTGATGCGGCCGTGCTGCGGCTTGATGGTACTGAATTCCAGCAGCTTTGAGGGGCGGTCAGCACGGCTCTTTGCGCAACATGACTGGTTGCCTACCGGAAAGTGGCGCCAGCGGCGGCCATTCGCTGCGGTGTTTTGAGCTGGTTGCGTGTGTAATTATGTCGGGCTGCGACATTAACACGCAGGGCTGTTGGTTTGGACCGCAATTGA